GAAACACAAAGATACATGAAAAACGTAATTACGTCATTACGTTGCCATGGCGACTCCGATTGCAATAAAACCCAGATCATAAGAAATTTTCATCTTTATATAATACAGTTGTGGTAACCTTTTTTCCATATCTTTACTCATGCCGACGTAGTTAATGCTCAANTTCAATGGAGTCAAACCACTATGAGATGAAGCCTCGTTCCCAAAGCTTATCATTTTTTTAAAATATTAGCGAATTGTGTAGGTAGCATGCTATTTCACCGTTTTTATCATTCTTAAAACTACATTTCAAAATATTTCGAAAACGCTCTCATAGAATTTGTTCAAACTTTACCATAATGGAAGCAATTATAGCAGGTACATACTCCCTTAAGCGATTTCTTGAAAAAACTCCTGGAACAGAGAAATACAAAGATACATGAAAAACGTAATTACGTCATTACGTTGCCATGGCGACTCCGATTGCAATAAAACCCAGATCATAAGAAATTTTCATCTTTATATAATACAGTTGTGGTAACCTTTTTTCCATATCTTTACTCATGCCGACGTAGTTAATGCTCAAAGTTGGAAGGTATCAACCCCAAAAAATCCAGTCGAGCCACCTTAAGATATGTTGGTTAATGAAAATATTGGATAGGCTTAAAAATATTGGATAGGCTTAAGTGTGGTTTAACAGGTACTCTTGAATCATTCAAACGTTTTTCTATCTATAGCAAATAATATTAAACAATTTTAATTGTAATAATTTTATGTAGCAGCATTGCATTCATACACGGGATGTGCTCTTAACATGCTAAATAACTGCTGGCAGATCTCTCAAATTGACTCCAAGCATGCATGGTGTGTTCCAGTGAACAAAGCAAATTTAAAAATGTGTAAGGGCAAGGACTGTCTCTTTTCAGTTCCCTTCTCAGGTAGTTCGCCATGTTGAGTCCTTGCAAGCTCTGACTCTGCAGACTAAAAACGAGTCTCCAAGCAGTCTATAAGTGTTAAAAGCACCATCTGAAATACATGTAATGATACGTAATGATATTTATTGTAATGTAATGATAATTAATAATGCAGTAATAAATATTGTTGTTAATATCATGTGTTCAATGGACTAAGTTAGATTGTACTGCAAAAATTGTAAAAGTAGTCTCTTGTAATAACCTATTCAAGAGTCATTTTTACATGTAAAACTCATTTTGACCTATTCCAAATGGCAAATAGGTTTTACAAAAGATAATTTATTAAAATTCACCTCTTGGCAGATACAGCATATATCAGGATGACATGGGTACCTTTCCTGGTGCTGTCCATCAACAATTTCATTATCACTGACACAGTTTTGTACAGGCACCTTATGAGCAGTCTAAAAAAGAAAAAGAGAAAGCAACAATATAATGTCTAGTTAATCTTAATGACAGGAAAAAAACTACTAGTTTAAAGGCACTTGTAACTACCATGAAATTTCATGCAACTGTGAATTTAACTGCTGTTCAGACTGATGAACCAATGAGAATGAAACGACATTTCTCGTGAAAGAAGGAATATAAAGGACAGTAAAATAAGGAGCAGCCTCTATATATCTATGATTCAAAACTGGCTTGGCATCTGCCAGTTGCCTAGCAACAAAACTGCAACACATAATACTCCCAATTTGTAAAGAGTTACACCAAGGAATGATCTGATTAGCCAGACAAAAGACTTTTTTCATTGAAACATTGTTGATGTTTGAAAACCGACAGACCTAAATTTCTCAAGAGACTGCTTTATATTACATCGTAGCTATGGTAATAACCGAAGGTTAAGGAGTACAGGAGAGACCAATTGAAGGTCAAAATGCCCTTGCTCCAGTGCTGTACTCTACATAGTTTTCAGGTGATAAAAGGTAATATATAATGTGCATGATCAGGTTATGTTCTGTGCATTCCAATCATTCTTAAGGACTGACAAGATAAGCAAAGTCATGTGGTTTCTCATGTTGCTAACAAGCGAAAAAATTTGCTAATGCAAGAAACTGCGGTCGAGTTTGTGGATTCTGAAAAACAGAAAATGCTGAACTTTTCATCTTTAAGGAAATAATGGCAATTAAATTACGTTGATAGGGTTCACTGTAATTTTTAAGGATATACAGTAGCAACCACAGATGCCCTCACAGTAAACAATAATGATGCAAGTCTTGTCAAAACTCGAACTGTAAATTTAACAATAATTTTTACTTGTTGTCTCGTTTTAAAAAAATAAACAAATGTGCAAATATTTCAAACAGCTTGGGAAACAAGAATGATAGGGCACCCTGGAAAAGTGAAAGTGTTGTGTTCAAAAAAGTATGACAAGTTACTTACATGTATTGGTACATTACAACTGTTCATCTCCTGTGACTCTTCTTCTTTGCATGCTCTCTCTTCTCTTATTAACATCTCTATCCTTTTGATTCTTGCTCTTAATGTTTTGAAATCTTCCTCCATCAAAACGCTCTCATTAAGTGCCCAAGTGTAAAGGGCTTCATCTGTAGAGTGCCTTAACAAAAAGGCAATGTTTATGCCAACCAAGTTTTCTCCTGCTTGTTCTCTTTCCCCATCAAATGGCCCATCAAACTGAAGGGATTCATCAACTGGAACTGGAGAATGCTGAACCTGTTGGGGTCTAACAACTGGGGAGACCCAGTCAGTAGTTGCAGAGAATCGCCTGCCACGTGTAAAAACTGGGACAGCATCATCCTGCTGTGGCTGAGAGGCACAAGTTGAATATTGGAGCTCTTGAGGTCCAGCAGCTACGCAGTTCCAGTACTGTTGTGATGGGGAATGGGAGAAGCAAAGGCCTGTTGGGGTCTAGCACCTGGGAGGTCACAGTCCTGCTGTGGTTCAGAATAAAGAGAGGTGAAGCTTAGAAAGTCAACACTAGAAGCTTGCAAGCTTGGAAATGGTACAGAGATGTGCAGCTCAGTATTGCTTAAACCGGTACAATTACTTATCAAGTGTTAATGAAAAATTTTTTGTTTTTCCACAGGAATTGCCATGGAATACCCTTAAAGAAAGAGGAAAAAAGGTTAGACTAGTCATGTTCTATAAAATCCATAATGACCAAACTGGAATAGACACTGGGTAATCTCTGAAGCCACTGGGCCGAGTTAGCCATCATGTCAACAACCAAGCTTATGGTCGAGGTTCCATTCGCTTTCACTGATTATTATAATTAATTCTCCTACTTCCCAAGAACAATAATAGAGGGGAACATTTTGCCAAATGAGCAGTAAACGCCTCTTCTTTGACAGCATTCACAAACTGCCTTTAATATTAATTATTAATTTTATTTATTTATTTATATATCGTATTCATTCTGCTATAAGCCGATCTTGGCTATAAGCCAAGAACCTAAACTTTGAACCCGTAGAATCGTCATAAAGCAAGAATGAAATATAAATCCAAAACACCTGGCTATAAGCCGAAACTCATTTGTTACAAGACCTTTAACTACTGTAAAACATAATATTTTTGAACGAAAAAAATGTGACCTTCTCTAGGAAAATGTACAATTGTTTGGACTGTTTGCTGCTATTGATCTTTCAATCAAAACAAACCACATCAGGTTACAATGAGTTCATCTGTGCTTAGCAGTGGCCGAAGCAGACCTTCAGATAAGTGGGGGGGGGGGGGGGGGGGGGGGTGTGGTAAGGTAGAGGGGGAGGGAGTGGGGGGGGAGGCGGGGGGAGGGAGGGGGGTGGGGGGGGGGGGGGGGTGCTGCGGTCATATAGACCCTGAGATAGGGTTGGGGCGCGGTCTTAAAAAAACATTTTTTCGGTTTGATCCAGGCCCCTCCCCTGGATCCGCCACTGCTTAGTAACCAGGCAAATGTTTTGAAGCACATGTTTGATCAAACATGGCGGATTGTTTACACATTTCGTGACATCTCTCATTTGTTTTACCCCTTCCCTCATTGTAAAAGGCTTACCAATGTGAGATTTTAGTTGTGAGACCTGTTTTGTAAGCTATTTGGACAATGGGACTGTACTTAGCTACCTTCACATTCAGATTTGTAGTTATGTTTCAAAGTAGACAGACTGCAAATGATATTAGTTGCTAAAAAATATATATCTACGTGTCGCAACTGTTCATCACTAGGATGCCTAAAATGCGTGCAATTCCACAATTGGTTTCGGCTCCATTAAATCCTATACCAATTGCAGATTGATTTGATCTTCTGCTGCTATTTGCTTGGCTTATAGCTGAATACATCTTCATTTACTAGACTTTCAATGCATGGAAAAAAATTTTTTGTCAAAAACTCTTGGCTATAAGCCGAGACCCCCTATTGGGCTTAAATTTCACTGAACTTTAGCTTTAATTTGTGTAAAAATCGCTTGGCTTATGACCAAATAAAAATATGATATATATCAACCGCTGGTCAATTTGAAAGAATCATCAATTATTGTGATGGAGGCAAATAAATGGTAGATAGATAGAGCTGCTGTTAAGATCACTCACTGATGAAGCCTCATAACTTGGCAATTCTGTTGCTAGCACTTGTGTATTAAAAACATCAACAGCATCAGATCCTTAAAAAAAGAAATAGAAAAGATTAAGGTAAATATAAGTGCTTCTGCAGACTTTCTACAAGGCAACGTCTTATTGGCCATTTCGCAGTTGCATAGGGAACTGGCACAAGTTTCAAATTTCCATTAATTGATAAACTGACACCATCATATAAAAGGTCATGTTGAGATTGGTCATTTGACCAAGTTTAATTTGGTGCTCTAAAGTTCAACAGGGATCAAGTTATGGCTCTTGAAACATGATTAAAGATCCATACAGACGTCTATAATTTTGTGACAGCATCCCCCAAAACCATGTAAACTCTTTAAAATTATTAGTTTTTCTTTTAAACTGTAAAATTCGTCATGCATCTACTGCTTGGAAGGAACTAATTCGAAAATCACTGTGTTTGCCCATTTTTAGGAATATCACAGAAAACATGAAAAAAATTAAGAGTTTATATGGTTTTGGGGGACAATTTCATAAAGGGCTTTTATCTTGAGTGTGTTTTGCTAGGAAATTGGGTGCTATACCTTCTGGTATGGAGTGCAACAGAGCACAATAATTATTATTGTCATCAACATCAGCTCTATTCTTTGTGGAAGAATTACAGCTGCTCTCTGCATAGATTGGTAATACAGGAGACACTTCTTGGTCTAGGACATCTTCCCTGGACGATAAGCAATTTCTGCATATACACAAGCCATGATTGTGATCAACTCTGCTTATAAGAGAAAAATAGCAATAATATTACCCAAATCACAAACCCTTATAATAAATACATTTAATTAATAAATGATCAGGGCTTTCAATAACATTATTTTATTTCAGGTGGGTACGTAGTTAAAATGAATCAAGCGGGTAGATTAATAGGAAGGGCCAAAGGCTGATCCTAATAGGGGGAGCTGAGGGGCATCCTCTGGTAAAAAAATTTTGAAATTCAGCACTCTAGGAGATGCACTTTCCTGGTAGATGCATTTTCCTTCTCAGCACACACTTCCCTTGGAAAGAAATGTTATCATAACCTTATGGCACTTAGAAAGAAATTTTTTCTCATTAAAACAAGCAAAAATGTGCAGGATTTGTAAAACAGAACAAGAGAGTCATGCTGTGAAGGAGTACATTACAAAATGAAAGCTTCAAATCAAAATGTGACCACACACTAGAAAACATACACCATTGCTATATGGCTACATAATAAATTAAGCCTTTCACAGCAAAAAGCTATTAAAGTAAAACGATTTGGTATTTTCATTGGTGTTAATATAATAAATAGAACATTACATCGTCGCTTGGAGGTACAAAATTTCTCTTCCCGTGTTGAAAAATATTTCACCACTCAAAGAGAAATTTTGTATCTCCGCTTGGCCATCCTCTATACAGCAGGACTATTTATTATTATAAACACCAATGAAATACCAGGTGGGCTTTCGCATGGAAACTTGATATCTTCTCATCATGTGTAGACTGCAAGTAGTCTCTTATTTTTCTTTGCAAAGTGTCTAAAATTACTGCACGAGGAACCCAATTATGCAAGCACAGGACCGTGATAAACAAGGGTGTAACCCAGAGAAGAAAAAATAAGATCAAGACTGCTGACTCTTTTGTTCTGTCTGGGGACAACAAAACTGTCAAGGTTATTTAATTAGCCAATTAAACCCAAGTAACTTGAAACGATTTACAAATAGAACATAAACAACAGAAAAATTACACTTTCTTTAAATCCAGTAAGGTTGCCTTGTATTCTAGCTTTCCCTTGAGGAAATTTACAGCAGTTTCCTTCCGTAAGATGTCCTTAAATGTTTTAGTTTACAGGTGCACGAAATCTTACCATTTGGTAGCCTGCATAACAGGCACTTTATTAGCCAAGTGAGGCGAACGCAGCATATTAAGCGAAGCGTGAAATGTGTGCTTCACGCAAAATGCCGCATTCACCTTGCTTGGCTCATAAAGTAACTGTTATGCAGGCTAACCGCTTGGTTCGTTGTTTTTTGTAGCTAGTTGTCAACAAAATCGTCAATAAGTTACAGAAAGTCAATCCTGAATACAAGAGAAGACCTTCTACAAAACAGGCTATATAGCCCCTACAATGGCACTTGTTTTAAAATTCATTTTTTACGTTTAGAGAAATGATAAGTAGTACAACTGAAGATAGACAACTAACCAAACAAGTACTATCTACCTAGCAATATACTCAATGGAGATGATGTTTTTCTGTGATCTTATCACGTCACTTAGCGATTCGTTTCCCGCCAACAACAGTGAAGCAGCATTGAACATATGGTTGCCATTCCCTGTAGTTTTGAGAGCAATGCAATTCTTTAGTCCTGCTTCTCTTGGGATAAGGGCAGTTGAGAATTCATCCTTTCTCATCGTAGACATTCGGTAATCAACAAGCTGGTCAATGAAAGACAATTTAAACTTTTTTTCGCATTCAAAAACAACTTCTTTCGCACCCTCTACATTTCCTTCTATTATACATCTCCTCAACATCTCAAAATCGTCCCGTAATTCATCCTTGACTTTCATTGCTCGCCTTCTTTTCTGAACACTGATACAAGGAGAAAAGCAGTATGAACGCAAGGCAAAATTCCCGCTTATTTCGCTTGTAATGCTATCATATATCAAGTTATTTAAAGACCATCACTTTACCGCACTTGACTTTTTTCATACAGAGAAACAGTGGAATGGCTATGGAAAGTTTGATGTCCAAAATACGTGTCAAATGTGTCTGTCTTTTTTCATTAACGGCCACTGAGGAATACTTTTGGAGAAAATTTTATAACTTTTAATACATTTTGGGTTTGTGTTCAGTGATGCATAGCATTTTCAGTGCGTGTGAACTGAAATACTGAATTCCCTTTACACATGCCGTGAGAATTCTAAATGTCACGAACTCGGGACTTTTATCAGATCAGGTTGTGATAAAATTTGAGGGATTTGTTGTGCAGACTTTTTTAAATTCTGTACATTCTGTTGATATTTTTATGGCAATAGTCAGTATTTTTTAAAAGCATCAAGTCAATATATATATATATAAAACTGAAAACATCCCTAACTCAAATTAATTTGTATGGTAGCGGATTTTGCTGTCTAGCTGAAACAACTCCATTGCATTTAGCTTATCACTTCTTAGGAATTTTATACATGAACAGATTAATTGATAACAAGTTCACATTTTCTGTCATTGTGGTTTATTGTGGTTTTACTTTTCGCAATGAAACCAGTTTGCCTTTAAACAAAGTTTACTATTCTCACGCATGTAGATTTCACTTTGAGTTTCCTAGCTAGTAAATAAAATAACGAAAAGGAGAAACGAACACGATTTCATCAGCTTCATATGCAAACACAAAAGTATCACAGTGTTGAACTCAATAAATAATTTTAAAACAAAATTAATATCTTGGGGACCAGCCTGGCGACCAGGCATGAAAAGTTAGTCATCACTGAATTAAATCTAGTCGCACCGGTGACACCACGGGTTGCAACGTCAAGCCCTGCAATCAGTTACTCCGTTTCTGGGCTGACGGAGGGTTTGTTTACTACAAAAGAGTCTGCAGTCCGTCTTTTCTCGTCTCAACATCGTAATCCCTTATTGTAACATAACGTCGTGGTTTGCAATCAAGCTGGCTGAGATAAGAACTGGACCGATTTTAAGAAAAAAGGCGAACTGCAAGCACTCTACATCATGTGAAAATAACATGTTATCTTCTCACCTGAAATATCACCATTGCTATGGCCACAAAATAAATCTCGCCTTTCACAGCAAAAGACTATTAAAGTGCAATGGTTTGGTATTTCATTGGTGTTTATATAATAAAGACCAGAATATTACATGGCTGCTTAGAGATATGAAATTTCTCTTCTTGCGTTGAAAAAATATTTCACTTGAAGAGAAAATTTGTACATGTATCCCCATGCGGCCATGTAATGTCCTCTATTTATCAAACAGTTAATCTGTTAGAGGGCTTATATTTGAAGGGGCGATTTAATGGAGGGTTTTTGCATTATGATTTTGGGGGGCTTATATTTGGAGGGGCTTATTCATGGAGGGGCTTATTTTCGGAATTTTACGGTATCTCAGCCGGTATTTACAGCAGCATGGAAAGCTACGGTGGCCCAGAAGGGTCACACATGCAAATTAAAAATGTCGCTGCAAATTAAAAATAGTACATGCAAATTAAAAATTGTACATGCAAACTAGAAATATTACCTGCAAATTAAATATAGTACATGCAAACTAAAAATTGTGCTGCAAATTGAAAATAGAAAACATATTGATGCAAATTAAAAATGAAAAGTCCTGCACGCAGTATGAGTGATGAGGACCTGCTCTGAGCCGTGCGACCTGGCCTTACAGCCATCGGCCCATTCATGTTTGTAATATTTTTAGTTTGCATGTACAATTTTTAATTTGCATGTCCTATTTTTAATTTGCAGCAACATTTTTAATTTGCAGGTAAAATTTTTAGTTTGCAGCAACATTTTTAATTTGCATGTGTGACCCTTCTGGGCCACCGTAGAAAGCTTTACCTCTTTTGAAAGAGCAGAAAATATTCTTCTCAGAAAAAATATTTCAGTTTTAAAAACTAATGTTTGCAAAGCAATGTTTGGCTTAACGAAAACGCTTCAAAGAAAAGTTCTTCTTTGATGTCTTACCAAAATAGTTCGCATATTTGCTATAGATACGTGAGACACACAGAATTTACTACAAATTTTTTTCATGACACCAACAGGTTATGCAAATTAGCGAAAACTCATTTGCATAGAGTAATTCAACACTTGCTTGCATGCAGGGCACGAAATTAACTTTTTTCTCAAGGAGACATCTGGCTTCTTTATTTTCCAAAGTGGTCGCCAAGTCAAAAAGGTAGTAGCCAATGTAAAAATGTATTATATAATAATACTAAATTGCTACAATGGAGGCAAAAAATGTTGGGGCCATTCCAGTGATACTACTAAAACTAGTGACCTCTCCCCTCCTACCCCAAACAAAGTTGAATTTGGAGCAAAATGGGTGGAAATGAGTGCTTTTTTTGGCCACAACATTGCTGAGGAAAGTGGGGGGATGACGGGATGAACACAAAGCCGAACAAAAAATTGTTGTTAGGAGCAGGGTCCTACGTAACAATTGCTTGGAAGGGCTTTTTCACACAGTCAGAAGTTCTTTTGTCCTCTATTGTCTGAAATTGATTTAGAGCGATAAAATGAATTTTTCTTCATCTTTCACTACAAAAATATAGGAAAACCTTTTCATTAGAACTGTTAAAGTGTAGATTTTTAGTATAGTGCTTTCTATATGCTGCAGCTGATCCTTCTGTCACGCTTAAGAGTTACAGATACCTTGCCAAACAGGGGTATTCAGCATGGACATTCAGTTTACCCAAAAGGAACTTAGTGATTATTTGAACGATGTGTTTTGGATTGAGTTCTTAAAGGCATTTAATGCTGGTAGTACTTATTTTTTCTACCTGAGAAGATGCACTTAAAAAACTCAAAAGGCATTTCTTAGCCATGCCAGAATACAACCCTTTTATACCCTACAAACTAACGTTCTCTAAGGCCTGGCCCAGATATACTTAGAGCGCGCTCTGTAGGTTCTGCGTCAATGTGTGAACATGGAGACATGAAAACATTTTAGAAGATTGTCTTGCACTTTGGCGATCAAACAGCAAAATTAAACGGTAAGCATAATTCCCTTTCTGCTTCGCTAACATTATTCTGTTAACTGCTCACAACAATCTGCCCTGGTATTGCCGGAAATTACTATGTGTGACCTATTCTGTACTTTGTGTTACTCCACAGTTCTAACAGTTCTCACCTGTAAAAAGTATATTAATTTTTCAGGACTGCATTAATTGAAATAGTGATAAGTGAATTATGTGCTTTCACATATTGTATCTCATCTAGTCTGAGAGAAAAACGTGCTTGAACTGGAAAGTCTCAAGCATAATAGGCTACTTTTAACAATTCTCGCCCCTAACTAAATAATAGACAAAATTGCAAACATTATTTTGAAACTATAAAAGGCCGAGAACTGTCATAAATCACTCAACGCTTCTGTTTTATGCACGCAAATAGCAATAATTCATTGCAAACAAACATTTCATCACTGTGTTGATACAGTTTGATGATAAATCAGATTTCCAAGGACATACATATTCACTTGAATAGCCAAGAACTGAAGGCGCTCAACTACTCAGTGTAACACCTGAACCTCGAGATTCCGTCACACTGTCTTATTTAGCATCCATGTTCAAGATAGTATAAAATATCTACCATTTGGCATGTCTGGAACTGTAGCTGAAAGTGTTACTGACGCTACATTGCTTTTTACAAAGACAAGGAAGAAACTTTGCCAACATATAACAGAAATTAGTGCTCAATATGGTGTTCCGGTTAATGGCGCAATTATTTCCAGCACTCTTACAACAAAAGAATAGCTGTTCTGGTCTGAAAAAAGTATATCACACCGTTGTGGAAAGATCAATTCCAGCATTAAGGTATTCATTGTGCAGCAGCTCACAAAGCAACATCTAGTTTTCTAAACAAAGTGGTTTTCAGACAATGGAGGTCAAAAGTATTGGGACCTTTCCAGTGATATTACTAAAACTAGCGACCCCTCCCCTCCTACCCTAAACAAAGTTAATTTGGAGCAAAATGGGTGGAAATGAGTGCTTTTTTTGGCCACAACATTGCTGAGGAAAGTGGGGGGGAAGACGGGATGAACACAAAGCCGAACAAAAAATTGTTGTTAGGAGCAGGGTCCTATGTAACAATTGCTTGGAAGGGCTTTTTCACACAGTCCCAAGTTCTTTTGTCCTCCATTGTAGCTGGTTTCCTAGCTTTAGGAATACCTTAACGTTTTTGTTCATATCTCGAAAGAAGAGCAAACAACAATTCTTGTTATGAACTTAGAAACAGAAACGAACTTTACCAAACTTTTACAGTAAGTTTACCATTACAATACAATTATGTTGGATTTATTCTGTTTTCCATCACAGACCATCCACCACGATGATCATGGATGTCCACTTATCTCAAAGACTGGCATATATGTCACATATTATGAGTGCACAGCTCAGCCACATATACCGGTAAATGTATACCAGGAAGTCAGCCTAAAATCATAAAAATCTTTTAATCTGAATTTCAGAAACTCAAGTTGACAATTCCCTAAACTATTCTTTTTAATATGAACTTTATAAAAAAAAACCTTACCGGACGCAACCTGTCTTCACAACCAGAAAAACAAGACATGTCCCTTTCATAAATATTACCTGGTCAAATCTCCATAAATATATCAATAAAATTGCAGTAGTTCTTTCATGCCTCGCTTACAAAATCTAATTAATTTAGTTTCCAAGGATGAAAAAGTCACAGCACGTAATGACTTAATCCGGATGAGTAATCATACAAACATATCCAAGTCAGAGGCTCCTTGGTAAACAAACTTAGTGGAACATTATAATACTACAACTGCAAAATAGTAACAAGTTGCGTTTTTCCAACAACTGCCAGAATGAAATAAACAGATCCTTTTTTGTTTGTTTCAGCATCTACCCAAGTTAACTGAACTATAATATTGTAGCCTGTGAACAGGCTCTCTGTTCGGGGAAAAAAATAGCAACGAAAGGGAAGGGAAGGGGAGGGGGGGGGGAGGGGGGAGAGAGAGCCTGTGGACAAACATTTGAGGCAGTACCCCTTGTAGAAATTAAGTATACTTTAAGTATACTTCAAGTATACTTTATATGTACTTCTCAGAAAAAAAGTACATTTGAAGTATACCTCGTTTGTACTTCCAGAAAAAAAGTATAAATGAAGTATATTTGGCAAATGTACTTCATTTATACTTCAAATACTTAAGTATACTTTAAGTATACTTCTTCAAACTTCAGTGCTTGTGAAAAATAGTTTCGCAAAGAAAAGTGTACTTTAAGTATACTTTGAAACTGAAAGACACATTCTGATCTGAGGATGCTTGGTTTGTCCGGATCTTGAAATCACTACAAGACAAAAGTATACTTAAAGTATGCTTTAAGTATAATTTAACTTCAAAATACTATTCAGATCAAATCAGTTTTCTTCTATTAAGGACACAGTTGAGATCATGTAAAGATTTCTTCACAGTGGTGAAGTATATAACAGGTTTCTAGATACACAGGGCACACATTAGCTGTTCAGTCGACTTCCTTCGTAAGAAGATCATCGGCCGATCTGGGCGAAATGGCAAAGTCGCACAGTTTCATTCTGGTCATTTCTTTAACGTCTTTCGTGGAATTTTTGCATTTGGCAGTAAAAGATACTGGATGTAATTAAGGACCGCGTCATTTTACCTCCTTTTTTACGAGGACCTTAAGAAATAGAACGAGAACTCGAAGCAAAACCATCGCTCCTCGTCGGACATCTTTACGTTTAAGGAAAGAAATGTATATATGAAGGTGTTGAATTACCGCTGACTTCCAGTACCGTCGGAACATATACGGGATCTTGTGGATTTCCTAATACGGTCATGTATGAATCATTTACAGCATACCTAACTTCCATATATGGTTTTGGCGGGCGATACAGATTCGAAGGAACATTCGTTGATCTTTGCCGAGAGTGTCTTCAAGATATTTATACGCTCGGAATATTGCATTGCCTTTAATTTATCTTCACAATTCGAGTACAATATGAGTGGAACTTGAAAAGAAAACAAAAGAAGTACACCATGACTGAATTTTGACGATACAAGTAAGTTTTGGGGTGAAAAATGTATCGGTTCCCGTCGTTTCAATATATATCGATTTTTCTTTGCAAGTCATTTGCAAATGACACACGAGTTAAGCCTTAAGGTTTACAAAGTGAAAGCTTGTTTACTTCGCCTAAAGTGCAGTGTAAATTCAAAATACAAAACCCAAGTCTTGTTTTCGTTAGATCGCATTTCGTTCCAGTTTTTGTACGTAATAGGTAGACATATTTCTTTAATAAGGTAATGGCACAATTTACTTTGTAGCCAAAGAGTACAGAAGAATATTGTGTGATGGTTCTAAGCAGTAATTATTAAGTACAAGTGAGCTAAAGAAAGTTCAGAAAGAAACCTGTTAATATACATGCACCTTCCTTGAAATGATCTCATTGTCAATGAAAATTTTACTAAAATCAAGAAGAATAATATATTATGGTAATCAAATGCAGTGAGTTCCTTTGATAGGAATAGAAAATGTATATTTTTATGTTGTGGAAACCTATTCCAACAAGATTTGCTATATATATTTTTTGTAATTTCTTAGTACATTTGTATTGCTTTAAGTTAAGGGCAGTTTTTTTTGTTATATCAATAAATGATTTTACAATATAATTGATCCAAGTCTGATGTGTCTCAGTGATTGATAAACATATTGCATAGAGTATACTTTAAGTATATTTTAAGTATACTTGAAGTATACTTCCCATTAAGTATACTTCAAGTATACTTTCATTTAAGTATACTTTAAGTATACTTTTTAGGTGTCGAAAAGTTGTGTACTTAAAGTATACTTCTGGTAAGTATACTTAAAGTATACTTTAAGTACAAATGAAGTATACTTTTTAAAGTGTTTATCACCTATATAAAGTATACTTTAAATGTACTGAATTTCTACAAGGGTGCTATTCCACTCTCTTGTAATTATCCTGCTGATCATCTGTCAGTAAGATCGTTATCGGTCAATCAATTTTGCGCCTGAGTAACTACTGGGAAAATTAACAGGAAATGAGCGGTGTTTTGCTCTGTCTGAAAACAGAGTGAAATGGAGCACAAACCTCATTGTCGATTTTGCAAAAATTCGTTGATCTCTGGTAAGACAATTAATAAGCTGTTCGTCTTGCTAGTTCGGTTTGTAATTTAACAAACCGCTGCAATGAGTGAACTTGGAATGCGGAAGGTACAGATACTATCATGACTTCTCCAGAACGTGAAGCTTCGAAGACAAGTACAAAGAGATCGGCAGCGCTTCAATCACTGACGGGAACTACACCTTCGGGTATATATAGCAATAAAAGGGGGTGGTAGGACGACACGACTTTTACTTCATGCCAAAATGCTGCTTGTTCCCATAAGTTTTTTCCTCTACAGGGCAGATTATTCTCTGGAAGGTTCTGCATTTTCACTGAGCAAATCTGATTTTAGCCGCTTGTTTCACACTGAGAGGTCATGGCACACATATCGATTTACTGTGGTTTTTGTTTCTGGTCGACAGGATTTGCCCTCTGATGCAAGAGGATTTTCTTTGACCTCTTTTGAAGAGTAAAGCTTTTTATTGCAGCTGAATAAGGGTCTCACTTTTCTCCAAAGTGCCTTCTCGATCCGTGAATGTAATGTTTTTCTGCAATGTTGTATCCTGATGCTGGGCCCAGCTCGTTAGTTTTCTTTGCAGAATGTTTAAAAATTATCACAGATAGTGATTTACAGATCCAAAATTATAGGATTGAAGTGCAGCTTAAACCGGGGCTACATCAGCTATAGAGAACTGCATTGTGATTCGGTAACTATAAACTCCAGCTTAGTGTTTTTTTAAAGACAGTTTGAGTCTTTTGACCGGTTCGCATAGTTCCTCCCCGTGGTAATAGTCTTTGGACTGTTTTGTTATTGCCACTCTGTGATCAAACTGCGTGCTACGTGCCGACCGAAAAGCTGATGTCAATCAGATCTGTCAACAGTCAGTGTTCTCGCCAATAAGAACTTGCATCAGGATATGATGCACAGCGGGTGCCGTGGAACGGCAGTCCCAAATGTTTGTCTACAGGCCTTTTCACTTTTCCCTCTCCCCACTCCGTTCGACCAAGGGCCTGTTCACAGGCCATAATAGGGAAATTTCTGCCAACAACTGAAACACTGGAATTCACTCCATAATAAAGCTAAGTGAGACCATGTGAAATCGGAAAAGTACGGAATGTTGTAAGCCCGCAAGTACGAAAAAGGGACATTTCAATCTACAATTGACTCCCAATAACTCGAACCCTCGCTAACTTGAACCTCAAGCTAACTCGAACCAAAATCGATTTCCCATGGATTTCCATTATACATTTACTGTAATTTTATCCTCGGTAACTCGAACCCTCAATAACTCAAACCTCCCGCAAACTCCAAGTAATTTTTGTTTCCCCTCAGATCATTTCTATATAATTTTACCCTCAATAACTCGGACCACGTCTTGAGCCCCTAAAAAGTCGGGAAAAGACAGTGTAATGGCGTCCGATACATTGAATTTAGAATTTCCCTTTGGTGTGTTGTATGCATATAGTTTACTAGTGGAGGCTGATGTTGTTTGTTAAAAATCTATGTGAAAAAGCTTTACTTCTCAAAACAGTAAAACCCATGCTCTATTTATGCAATGTTTTGTTACTGCATTACGTTCTGATTTATAATCTAGAAGTATCTTTCAATTTTCACCTAACATTTCTACACTAAGTGTGATTAAAATGTTCACTATGCAGAAAAAAAACTGCTTTTTCCTTACTCCTGACAATTTTCTTTGAGCTCCTGATAACTCGAACTCCCAATAACTCGAACTATTTTCGATTTCCCTTGAAGGTTCGAATTACCAGGAGTTGACTAAACAATATACAATGTTACTTTTGGAAAATCCAAGATGACGGATGTTGACATCTCCACTTCATAGAATTTGTGACGATTTTGCTACAAACTTTAGTTGTTCATACCAATTCATCTACCTTCAAGCTTTATTTAATCGCAAAATACATAACAGTAGGATGTACAGAACCTGTAGAGTGCTGGCCACCAACGTCATGACACTTAGGCGCATTGGCGACTGTATCAGGTGCAATTTCATGCCCTGAGCCTGACTTGATTATTATGGAGTTGTAGCGGCCAACACAAGCAAAGCAATTTACGACAACGACCTTGAGTTTGCAAGCGACGACACACTATAAAGCGAGGAAATATTTTACAGACAAAAGTCTTGAATCGTTTGTTCAACTCGATCATAGGATCCAAGTCCTTATCGTAAACTGAAACATGAAACACAAAATAAGGGCTAAGCTAATTTCTAACATACAAACTACATTCCAATCATTCCATTGCAAAGTTGCAAGTTACATTAAGTCTAAGCCGAAGAAGGTAAACGAATCAAAACTTAAGGAAAAATAATTAGAACGAATTAACAAGTACAAAATTCAAGATTATAAAAAGATACATCTAATAACAAAGCAAAAACAGTTCGATGTACTATAAAGATCCGTAGAACCATAAGGTTGAAATACAAACAAATAATGAAACTATATAAAGGCAAAAGAGACAAACTACTGAAAAGATTCTGAAAAACAAACTCTAAAACGTACTAATAACCAAGTGAAAGGTGAGTAACACTTTAACTAACATCAACCAACTTATGCCACGTGGTAAAATAGTTGAGGAAAACATGCGATGAAAAAACTGGTCTGGTGTAAGCTAAAGGAGTCTATCGAAAAAGTTCGGTATAAAAAAGAAACTTAAACACTTACATAACAGTCCCGCTTGTAAGAGCTTGACCAAACAACTTCAAAGATAAACTGGACAAACGTTAAACTGCATGTACTAACGACAAACACGACTTATCATTTGCCCAAACAAAGCCAACTAACAAAAATGCGGTTTGAGTGGAACTTAACTAATCACGTCCCTAATCGACAAGGAATAACATCATCTTGCGGTTTAACATAATACAATACAAATTAAATCAACAACGAATCAATATTCAGGAAAAACGCGTGGTAGCCATTACAGGAGTGATGCAACAAAAACTGTAATTTTAGCAACTTTTTCTTAAAAATTTGAAGATGTGGACTGGGAGACATCAATTTAAAGAAATTTTCAGGAAAAGAAGCAGGATTTTTGGGTTAAAGCCAAACCGAGACGTATTTCATTGCATTGGAAAAACGTGGCTTGCAGCACTATTGTGCAAAGTGAGGCGTTAAGATTTTTACAGATCGTTTACATGTACAGTCGAATCCCAGTAACTCGAACCTCGCGCTAACTTGAAGAAATTTACATTTCCCCAGGTTTGCTTTCTATATAATTTTACCCACGATAACTCGAACTCCTGGTAACTCGAACTATTTTCTCTTTCCCTTGAAGGTTCAAATTATCGGGAGTCGACTGTACCTCAATGTTCTTGGTTATTCAGCATCTGATAATCCAAATGGTATCCAAAAACTATTGTAAAACCTATCTACTGTTGAAACTCATTCTTAAAAGCATTTCTTGATCGCTAAAACCATCGTAAAATTTTCAAAAAACTTTTCGAGACAAGCATAACAAGGTCGGGGGCTGAAACTAGCTTGGTAAATGGCTAAAACAGTCCACTTCCAGTGTGCCAAATTTGGTGGTGATCGGAAGTAATGCAAATTTTCGAAAATTTTTTCCTTATCGTTCTCTTGAGAACGATATTAATAGGATCCAGGGGAAATGAGTTAAACAGCAATTACTTAACAATTATTATTCCTTGAGCCTGATTGGGCTCTGAGTCAGAGTGGGCTATTGACTCAGAGTCCGTGAGGGTGAGAGGAATAATTGTTTTAGTAAAATCCAACTAGCTGGTCAAAAATATCGAGACAAAACAACTATAGCTAGCAAAACACGATTCAGCCACCACTGTTTTCGTTTTCAAAGCTGGCACTTTTTGCTACCAGTGGGCTATAACATATAGCCTAGTAGTAGCTCAACCAATCCGAACGCAGACCACTAGACCACTAGTTGAATTTTAGTACTAATATCTGTTATCTTGTGCCCTTTGCTGGATGGCCCCGTTTCTACTCAATTTTCTTTGTAAGAGTGTGGGCAGACCTGCACCTATTCCAAACAAGATTTGTGATTGGCTGGGAAAACAAAAGAGATGGTGACATAACAATGCCCCTATCCCTGAAAACAATAGGTAGTGCAGGTTATAGGGACCAATAAAATAAGAGGTTTAGAAGGGTGCTGGTCAACCAAACAGTGTGCATTTATTAACAAGCATAATCTCAAACCAGCTTTAGTTATCATTTCATAATCTGACATAAGAATTACTTTATTTTACAAAAATTTGTCAAAACATGATGACTTACATGCTGTTCTGTGTCACAGCATCACTGGCAAATCCTCTGCCGGCAATGTGTAGACAAGGTGAAACCTGACAACCACTGAATGCGTCCTACAAATAATAATAAAACAAACAATTGGATCAGCATCGCCATTTACTACAACAGCTTTAAGACACATACACTGTAATTAAAGCAGAGTTCCTATCTTAGTCTCTACTCAACGGATAGATATGATAAAAGTAGCTCGGTGAAAAATGTCACTGGAACCATATCTATGACCATCCTGTTTGTACAATGTACATCATGCATCTACACTCTTTTGAATCAAACTTTCATGTATGGTATATAACAAAAATCACTCCTTTTCTAATCTGAGAATCTGATACAAAAATTTTGTTATTTGAAACAACAAGAAATTCATGGTCCAGGGGGTGGCAGAATTAATGGTATGTGATCACTGTTGATTGAAACTCACCTCCAAGCAAATAAAGCTTTCACTATGACCTGAATCTGGTCGACACTGGTGATTTCCCTTAAGGCGTTTGTCTAAACACACGTTACATATTTCACAATGGAATGACTTGTCTTGCTGAATCCTAAAATGACAAATAAAATTAATGCTGATACAATAAAAAATAACACTTTTAATCATTACTATAACTAAATTCTCAAATCTGATTGGCTACGAACTGTCAGCATTAATAGGACAGTATAATATTAAAAGACAGTAGGCATCATGCCTAAGTAATATTGGATAGTATGCACCACGGCTAAGTAATTGGACACTACCTGCTATCATGTGCATGCATTTGAATGGCTTTTGTTATTCATTTCTTGCAAAATACTCTCAGAACGTTTATTTAAATTTCAAAAACCTTAAATGACTACAAATTTTGTTATAGTTATGATTAATTGGTAACAGAACTTCGTGTCAACCAATTCTCCTTTCATGCTGTAATTACATTCATTAAGACAACTGGAAAGACAAAAACCAGCATAAAGCATCATTGAAACTTTCATAAACAAATATATAAGTGTAAGTCTTATTTTAATGATAATTATAATCATAATAATTATTATTTTACAAGAAAAACATCACATTTTCTTGACTTACTGGCATATTCCACATTTTTCACAATGATAAGGATTTTTGTCCAAACTGGTAAAATGTTTACATATGGAGCAGAAATAGGCAGACATTTCCCTTCCACACTTACGACATCTGGCACTGTCTTCACCAATCTGTAATGATAACAATCATAAAACAATCATAGAACATTTACTGGTAAACCAAGCTGTGTTCAAAATGCAACTGGATTCCAAAAGAAGGAATGATGCATTTCTATTGAAAACTAAGAGAAAACAAACTAAAACAAGTGCAGGAGAATGTGATATAGAGCTGAGTATAGCCCATTTTGTGTCAATATAGAAAAATACAGTCTCAAGAACCATGCCTTCAGCCCATTAATTCTAGAAGTGTGAAATGAGAATAAAAGATTACCTCCTGTTCATGCTGACAGTAAGAGCATTTCAGGTGAGTGGCATGACAAGCTTTAGCCTCTTCATTCTCACAAGCTCTTGAGATGTTGTGACAGCGATGGCATGGATAGAATTGTGTGCAACAAGGAAATTGTACGTTGCAGTGCCGCTGATAATGTTCACATAACCACTGTGATCGTGCAGGGATGGATTCTTGCTGTTGTTGCAAACTCTCAGCTTCCCACAACTCTCTTTCTTCTCTCTCTCTCCTTTGTCTTCTAGCTCTTTGTTCTCTGAAAAGTTGTTCTTTCCTTTCTATTTCCAACAGCTCAGGTTCTTTCCCCTCCATAGGCCTCAGCGGAGATTCCATTGTAGAGTGTTCAACATCGCAAAGATGTGATTCTAAAATAGATGTGCCCAGCAAAGATGCTCCAGCCAAAACAACATTGCCATCAGAAGCTGTATTTCCCAGCTGATATCCTGCAAAGGAACCTGCTAACAGTCAAACCCTGTTCATAAGGACACTTGGAGGCCCTTTCCCCAGGGACCAAGCAAACTGCCCGTAATAATGAGGCGTCCTGTACTGAGGTAGCATTTCAAGACCTGATTACTGCTCAAACACATGTGTTGAATGTTATCATACATAAATATACCCCAGAGACAAAGTAGAATAAAATCAACAGAAAAGAATAACATTGGTTTGGTGTTTACAGAGAACACCGATCGCTTGACCAAGTATTGTAATTTTCTATAGTATCCGCTGTAGGATGTACACACTGAATGTAACAAAGCACTTACCGAATAAAGAAAACTATTACTGGTCCAAAATGTATCATAAGATAGTTGCGGGGGTTTCTACGATTTTACATGCTATCGCCTTTGTTTCAAAACACTACTCTATTTCAGTGACTGTTGACAAAGCTCGAACGAGTGCAACTGGGTTTGGAAAATGAGCTTTATAAATGCAGGTTAAAAAAACTGCTTTTGTACGATCATGATGTCCGATTCGAATATCGAACGGTTCGAGTGTCGTAAACTTACCTTGTATGTGAGCACCATAGGGTTGCTTGTGACGCTTTTCACTGTCTTCGTGGAAACGTGCCCTACTCCCTAGATCCTCATCAAGATCAGCGGGCACAGGCTTCTTCTCCTTCAAACTGGCCCCATCGAGGCTCGTCTGGTGGAGCGAGTTACCTAAAAGGTCATGCAAGTGATTTCCGATACTATTTTCATTCTCAAAACTTTCTTCCGAGTCGCTTGAAAGAATATCTTGGTCACTGCTGTCGTGGCCACTCATTCTTTGGGTGAAATCGGGTACGATCTAAACTGCTTGCAGTCCGCCTTTTCTCTTAAAATCCGTCTAGTTCTTATCTTGCAACCCACAACGTGAAAAGAAAAATACATGGATGGCGACCGTTGTGGAAACTACCTACTACGTAATGAGGATTCTTATCGCCGATTGGTTGCTTCGTCTTCGCGGTTCTCAGAATGGCAGTCAGGAAAAATTCGATAGTTTCGCGCCCATGCTTCAAAACGCTTGTGATTGGTCGATTTCCCGCGGGATATTTTGCTGGTCAGCGTCATCGTCTTTTAAAATTCAAACACTTCTATAAAATTGGTTTTCAACGCGAGCACGGTAAGCGATAAAAAAAAAACCACAAAACTTGGAGCGAAAACTGAAAACTTAATCTTTAAACTTCGCCTCTCGTTTCCATCTTCCTTTTCACATATTATATATTGTGCCAAAGACAAACTGTGCTTGCACAGCAAGTGAATTTTTTGAAAGTTTCGCGGCGCGATAGTCCTCGTCGCTGCTTCGTGACATGATGAAATTATTGTAAATCGCTGTTGCGCCGATGTTGTGTGCAAAGGCCAAAAACAGGCATCTTTCCGAGGGATGTAGCGGTGCCCTAAGACATACCAGCCTACAAGTATGCAGAGCTGATGACCTGGAGCCGTTTAAAATGGTTTGCCAGCACCACTTCGATTTGATACAAAGACAAGACGACCGCAGGTTAGGCCTTTGTACATTATGCTTTTGTTTCCCCACTAAAATGCTCCACCTTAATGCTCCATTTTTCCCACTAAAATGCTCGGCAGTCCCCAAAAAAGTCACTAAAATGCTCAATAATGCTCATCATAGAGAGGCCTTCTTTATTAATTCTGAACAATTTAAGGGGGTTTAAGGCTAACAAAGTAGTATGACAACAATGTATTCAAATAAATAGTTTCAAAGCAGCAAAAAAGATCATCTACATGGCTGTATTAAGGTGATTCCTTAGTAAAAGAACGGAACATATATTGTAGATGAAACTTGCTACACTGATGTAACAAGTCAAGAAGATGACGCGCGCAGCCCGAAAGTAGACAAAAAGGATAGATTTTTCGATGATGCATGTGGTATCGCACACAATTTGACTTTAATGTATTGTTTATCCACTTACGTACCAGAAAAATGCCTTTTAATGCCCTTGTTTTTACTTTTCCCTCCAAAGTAGAATTAAACTGGACACGCGCTCTTCGACCCGTGATAGCTCAATCCGTACAATTTAGTAAAATTGCCAAAAAACTTAACATAGATTTGTGCCAATTTTTTTCTCATCGAAGGGAAGCACTGTCCCTATTAAAATCATGAAATAAAAAATGAGGGTGACCGTACTCGTTTTTGCGGTAGAGCTGCAGAAAGTGCGCACCAAATGCATTTTCTCCGATTTTTGAGAGAGGACTGGGGCGGGTTTCAAAATAGAATGTATGTTGAAAGAGGGAAGAAAGTATTAAAAAATGATATCACATTTAGGACACAATGTGATAAAGAAAGCGTTGAAATGAAAATCAAAGTGAGTAAGCACAAGTTACACATCCACTATCGAGGTTCTCTGCGAGGAAGTCGAACTCAGCAACACGGGTACTGCTTACGTTACGCACATTCCCAACACATTGAGTCTCATCTCGGCAAGAAACAACAGCAAGCGAAAATTCCAATAGCGTTTCTCGTCAGTCAACTTCATTTTAATAATGTTACTTCACAAGCTCTTTTTACGGCGGCCATCTTGTTATGCGCAGTAAGAGATGCGCAGTGCAAAACCAGGGAATCACCTCAAGGTGAAATTTGAATATAGTTTTAATTGTTTTTAAAGTCGTCATATCTCTTCAAAAATGTTTTAATTTTAATTTTCTGGGGGAAAAAAACCTAATTTTCCGGAAATATAACACTAAAATGCTAGAATACTGCTTAATGCCTCTGCCTCACTAAAATGCTCAAAAAAGGCTAGCATAACGTACAAAGGCCTACCGCAGGTGTTCCTGCCCTTTAACTTGGGGACACGCTGCGAAGTTGCACGTTCATACCATCCCGTGCAAGTTATTTAAAACTCTAGATGAAGCTGGTGCTTTACTGTCGAATTATTGACCGGGTACACGTTGGTCTAAGAAGTGCCGAATTGAGGCGCCAAAGATGTTAACCAACTGGCCAAAAAGTGAAAGTAACACCGAAAAGATCGCGACAAAAAAGCGTAAACAAGATCAAACGAAGGTAAGTTTTCGTAGCAAATCTGGTTTGTGTATAAGTGATAAGTATTTCAATGTGTCATTTATTTACTTTCTAGGAAATTTCTTTTCTCTATAATACTGATAGTGATTTTACTTGACCCGTGAAATAGGGAATAGAATACTACGCACCATTAGGCACTAATTCCATTGTCTTCTTTTGTTTATCTGTTGCTATGATTCACGGGTCAAGTAAAATCACTCTAATAGAAAGTTTAAACATTATTTACAAAGTTGTTTTGAAATTCTTTTTGTTTTATCAAAGTTTGACATAATTATTATTCATTGTTATGAATGTAGGGAGCATCATGTAAATATTTCTTATTAACTGGTCCTCTGGTTATGAAGATAGTGGCAACCAAGAGATTCGTTTGGAGTGAATGTTCTACTTAAATAACGTAAGATGCTGAATTGCAAAGCTTTTTTTTGTCTTTTTGTGATTTGTGTGCACAGTTCAGAAACGACCATCAGTTCAGTGACCACATAAGAAGTCCAATAAAGGCTTGCACTACATTAAGAATATACGTATATTTCTCCTCTCCTAATAATTAAATTGCCAACCAGCTAGGTTGTTTGTGTTTATAGTAAAGATAATCAAGGGGGGGGGGATGGCACTGCAGGGCTGTCACTAAGATTTCAAGTTGTCAGGTAAATACAACAGGTAGGCGGGGAGTCATTCAGCTAGGGATTTCTCTTGGTTCCATTCTTCATCTATTTTCCTATGAAAGTAGCCGGAGGCCACGTTCATAGTAGTTGGAGGAAATTCCCGGCCCCCGGATATTAATGACAGCCCTGTGGCACCCCACTACTTGGCACCTTTTATTAACCCGTAAATAGCAATTAATGCAGGCATTTTAGCATTCTTGCTGTCTTTCTTGTCTATCCATAAGGTAACCTGGTTCCTTTACCCACTGTTACGTGCATCAGTTGGTTTCTTCTTGATGGCCTTGATTGCTTTTCACTTTGCCCTGAACTGTGCCCCAATCCATGAGGTCCGGTTCTCTTACTCGATTGTGACTTAAAGGAGATTGTGATAGAGATGGGCAAAACTTTGATAGTAAAGCCCGGCCTTGCCCTTACTCGTCTATTCTGATTTGTGGGCACATTTGAGCGTAGAAAGCAGTGGGAAAGAGGGAAATAGAAGAGACGACTAGCAGATCGTGACTCGAACAGTTAGCATTGGCTGTATATTTTAGTTTTTATGTAATTCTGTATAAGGCGATAAGTTAACCGATGTCATTTCAGCGATCTTTGGCAGTTTAATAACAAGCTTTTTTTATAAGCTGTTTGCTTTCAAAGATGGCATCTGGCAGAGGTGCCAATAATCTCCTCTTTTCCCTCCTTCCCGTCCCCACGGCGCACATCTTCCACTTGCTTACCTCGTCAATATTAAAACTTAATTAAGAGATAAAAGAAACAACTAGGGATGAGTTAATTCTTGTTAACTGCTAGCATAGATATTTATGAAGAGGCAGCAATTTGTGAATTAGCCGGGATCAAATGTTCAATAAGTAAACACTTTTTCCAAAGTCTCCATTAACAAGAGTTTGGAAAAATAAATGAAATTCATTCTGTTTCAAAACTAAGTTATCACACTAACACCTCCAATTTCCGGGCCTTTGTTGAGTGGAACAGTGTACTATATATCCCGAACGGTAACTGATCAGCACCATCTTGGTCAATCAAGGGAAGAACTGAGTGATCCTCTACTAGAAATTTTACTCCCTGGACTGACTATACAAGGGGTGTCGACAAATCGGACAGGTACGACTGAAAAAGACAAAAAATTATAATGATAAATATAATTTAATTATTCACAAACCTTTCAAGAACTAAAATATTAGCAAAAAAAACGACAATTGACCTCTTTCTTCTTTTCCCTCCAACAGAAAACTTTCTCGAAAATTGACACTGTACTGACAACAATAACAACAACAACAATGATAATCCTTATTTCCCTTATCATTAAGTTTAACAAAAGGGCACTGGCCCGCAGTTAACTAGACCTTATCTTGGCAGGCCAGTCAATTTACGTGTAAGGAATATTTAATTTCCATTCTTTTATCTACATATTTGTCTATATACAAATGAGATGAAATCAACTTTCAACACTTTGACTAAAACCCACACGTCCGCGCGTAACAGGGCTAATGCTGTAACAGTTCAATGGGATTTGAGGTTTCTCCTTATAAAGAGTCAAGAAAAAGGACGAAATAATGGACAGGGAGCTACCCAGGGTGTTCCATTAAGAATGCTGAGTGTACTTCGAGAGAAACAATGCAGTTTAAAAAAGCCCTCTTATTACAGAAGTGTTGCATATCGTGGCTAATAAGCTTTGCACTCTGATGAAGGCTGTTATATCCAGCCAAAATAAGGGGGACTTTTACGCTCAATTAATCGGGTATTTTCGTATTTGCTGCTTGTTTCAAATTTATAAGAATTTAAATAGACTGTTGAGGCAGCAGGTTAATCGATACATTAGACGGTTTAACTTAATAGAATTTACTACTCATTGAAACATTAATGAACATTTCTGCCATGAAAAAGTGAAAACTACGAATAAAGAGGTCGCAGCTGGTAAGATCGTACAGGCTGTGCTTAAGAACAAGTATCAATTCAAATGGTCGTGTCGATCATTGGTTGGCCTTTTTGCCCTTCATCCCTTTCGATAAGTGAACTCAAAGGCAAAGTTCAAGGAAACATACTACTGTTCAAAAAAGACAGGGGAAGTTTTCCCGCTGGACTAACACT